ATCCCTTTGGTCTTTGCACTTTCTGTGTTCTAGTGACTGAAGCTCACTGTCAGCACCCTCCATCTCTACCCTCTTCCCTTCCCTCTTTCGTCTTTCTTCTGTGATTCTTCAAACTTCTTGCTTCCTGTTGTTGCGGATTCAAATATTGAGGATGGATACAAGAGGAAAACCAAAATAACAACACTGGTCCGGCCGAGTCAAGTCAAACGATGATTTAATGAACACACGCGTGGGAGATGGACACCATACAGCAGACAGCATCAGATCTCAAAATGGTGGAGCCTTGATCAAACTCTTATAGCCTCTAGTGGCCCCCACCTAATCATAAAAGCCTAAACATTCACATTCTTTCTCTCACACAGCGCCTAAGCTACAACCTTGGCTCCCTGTTTATCTGCTCCTGCTGAGATGGGGCAGAATGCTCTGTTCTCTTCTAATCAGACAAATAAGGCGATGACTTTCTGTGAACAATATTTCTTATAACTCACAGTATAATGCATCATAAAACAATATCATTCATTCACAATAAATCAACAGTCTAATATAATGCAAATCAGTTTACCAAATGTAATAGTTATCACCTTCTTCTAATTCAGGAGCATAATGCAAACTAAAACTACATAATAATTCACAATCTTTAATTAGGGGTCTAACATGGCATAAAATATTATAATCCGACACTGTAATGAGCTGTTTTTTCTCCTTTTTTTCCAGACTCATCCTTCATATGCTTCGTTCTCTCCATGTAAATGCAAAAATACCTATTTTGGTGAAATTGTCAGAGAAAATAATCAATACCTTAATTAAAATTGTCTAATATGGTCTTAAGAATGATTATAGAAATTTAAAAAAGAAAAAAATATATTTTTGACAAGGTCAAAAGGGGGGACAAAAACCCTGACACAAATCTTTTTTTTGTCTTTTTTTTTTTTTTTTACTATGCCTCCAGGATCAGAGGGCTTTTTTTGAACAAGTCTCAATCATGAGACTTGTTCATGATAAGTACACTGGAAATGTTACTCATGCTTAGTTACTGTAGTTAATGTAAATGCATACACAAACAAATAAAAATGCAGTATCAAAAAACAGGCATTATTTATAAGGAGGTCCAACAGCAGATAACACATGTAACACACTTTTTTTGTGATTTTTTGTCTTTTTTTTTTTTTTAAACATCTCCATGTTAGTCTTTCTACTGATTTTCTTTTTCTTTTTGGCAGGTGGACTCTTGTCTGCCTCCAGTTGCTCCACATTTTCCACCTGGTCAGTATTTTATCTTTCATCCACTCCACTAGCAGATGTTATCAACCTCTGTCCTTTATACTGCTGTTAAATTGGGATTGACTTTCCATGTCTGCATTTCCTTTTGCCATATTTAAAGTCGACTTATTTTAGTTTGTTCCTCCTCTGGCTCAAGGTGAGGTTTTGTTGTATGAGTCTTCGTCCTCAGTCAACTGTGTGGATACACATATAACACATAGTTAGTAAACACATCTAGACAAACTGTGCCTGAAATACTAGTTGTCATATATTTACCATTGCAGTAGTCATTATTTTCAATGTAAAGTTTGAAAAAATAAAATGAATAAATACAATAGCAGTATAAAAGCAGGTTACCACATAAAAAATATGGTTATTTTTACATCCCAGAAAACAAGGGGAAAGAATCATGAGAGTGATTTTGTGTTGCTTCTCTCATGCAGTCCTTTTTTGCAATGAGGAGAGTGCACAAAAAGCCCCTAGTGGAGAATGGAAACACTATCAATTGATCCCAGAAAAGGCTTACTAGCTGATTAGTAATGTACAGATTGCAGTTCTCTTAAATAAAATGACAACCATTAATGCAACATTAAAAATAACAATTTTTTAACAATTTAGTTACTGTCTCTACATTGTTTTTTTGTCAACTAATATGAATTAGTATTAACTATATACCTTTTTATTTTCAGTTGAGAACCTTTTTTTTATTGTCAACTCTTTTAGTATGGAATCAACCCATGAATGACAGCTGCATGGAGTCTATAAATACTGCCTAGGGCGTATAACAGTATCTTCCAATCTATCAAAGTTAGATGTGGCGTGTCATTAGTGTGACCCCATTAAACATAATATTTATTTACCAGGGTCAGACTAATTAATTTTAGTTTTACTCAAACTGTCAGAATATGTTAAATACTAAAAATATTGGCATTTTTTACATATTTGTTTAACAAATTTTAGAAAATTGAAATATCCCCATCTAATCAGTGTCACATTGGAATGAAAAGCCTGACATTCATAAATAATAGTGATGCAAAGATGTCAAAAACAAATCCTGACCTTCTGTGTCTTGAGTTTCTTCTGCATCATTTCCTATTTCTCCTTCTTCTGTGGACAGTTCTTGTTGTTCACTCTGATCTTCTGTTGTACTTTTTCCTGACTGATTTTTTTCCACTGAGGTGAGACCTTTGCCAGGCTTCTTTTGGTTTGTTGTACTGACTTCTGGATCTGAAGGCTGAGCACCGGCTTTTGAGTCGCTATCTTTCTCTGTGTTTTCCTTTGGGTTTTCTCCCTGACTTGTGTCTTTGTTAGCTGAATCTGCTGTTTCATTATTTGTAGTTTGTGTTTCATCTCCATTTGAATCCTTTTCCCCGTCCTCTGGAACACTTTTTGCATCACTTGATTTCCTCAACTGTTCTTCTTGTTGACCTCCTTCCATTGGACTCTGATCTGTTGTTTGAGTATTTCCTGACTGTTTTTCCTCAGTATTAAGCTGTGTTTTACTGCCTGACTGCTCTTGGTTTGTTGTAATGCCTTCTGGATCTGAAGGCTGAGCACCGGCTTTTGAGTCGCTATCTTTCTCCCTGTCATCCTTTGGCTCTTTTCCCTCTGATGGATCATTTTGACTTGTGTCTTTGTTATTTGAATCTGCTGTTTTATTATTTGTAGTTTGTGTTTCATCTCCATTTCCATCCTTCACGTGTTTTTCTGAATCCCTTTTTGTTTCTTTTCCTTCTCTGGGCTGTTCTTGTTGTTGATGATCAACACCTGTTAAAATCTGATCTGTTGTTGGATTATTTCCTGGCTGCTTTTCCTGAGTATTACTAACTGACTGGTCTTGGTTTGTTTCATTTGCTCCAGAATGTGAAGGCAGGGTTTTGTTTTCATCAGGTAGATCTTGTGTTTCATATCTATTCTCATGTTTGTTATTAATTGCTGGATTGATGATTTTCCCTCCTGTTTCTTCTTCTTGACCTTCACTCATTACAGTTGTTTTTTCTAACTGGCTTTCCTCAGAATCAGGCTTCTTTGCGGGTGTTTCTAATGCGTTTGCAGCAACATCACTACCAATCTGATTTTGGTTTGTCCCACTTTCTTGTGATGTGGGAGGATTTTTCTCACCATTTATATATATATTCACACAACTATTGCTGTGTTGGCATTTCATTTCTTTGCCCTCAGAATGAGTACTTTGTTTCCCTTCTTCTGCACTTGCACTCTGAGGTGCTGTTTCATCATTTATAGTTTGTGTTTTATTTTTGTTTTCATCAGTGCTGGTATCATTCTTTGCTTCTTGTCCTTGTTTAGGCTGATGTTCTTGTCCACTGTCATCCATCAGACTCTGATTTGGGATTTCATCCTTTCTGCTCTTGGTGTTATTCTCAAATTGCTCAGGTTGTGCTTGTCTCCCATTACCTGATTGGGCCTCATCATTTCTGTATAGATCATTTGCTGTCTCTCTTCCTGGTTGGTTATTATTTTGTTGTTTGCCACTTTTTGTTGTCTGAGGAATATTTTTGTTGGCAATATACTCCTTTTCCACCTCATTTTGACATGAAGATTCAGGTTCTGTACTGACATGTGCAGTGTCATTCACTTCAAACTTATCTTGCTTTGTCAGAGGTTCCTTTTCTGATTCTATAACTGGCGGGTATGATTTACCCATGCTTCCACTCTGTGATTCTCCATCATTAGAGCACTTTTTGGTCTCTGTGTGTAAGTACAGATGATAAAAGTTACAATTTTAAATACCTTATAAGAATTTATAGTATTATTAAAATAATAATAATAATAATAATAATAATAATAATATGTTTCTGACCAATTTGAAACTAACTTAAAATGTCTTCTAATATTAACAACATTTTAAAAAGTAAATAAAATATTTAAAATATTCATTTTAACAGTGAATTAAAAAAAAACTTTACAGGCATAAGTCAGATGAATATATAATGCAAACATACACACATCACATAATAACAGTAACATAACATGTGCATAATGATATGTTACTGGTATGATGTTTGTATTGGTTGGATTCAATTTTAAATAAATCTGCAACATACACCAGCATATGTAATGGATTTAACAGCTGCAGCTAGACTTAGACATGAACCATTGTTTGGAACACCAACATCAAACCTTTAATATTTTCAACACTGGTGGGAAACCAGTGATGCATTTTACCACAAAATGATGGTTTTCATAGACAAAAATAAATTGCTATGAACTTTGTTGTTTTTATCTGACAAGATAGGAAACAGTATATTGACAATATTATCTTAATCTTCTGCCATCAGTAGTGTTGAACTGTGGACTTTAGTTGTGATATATAAACATCATTGCCATAAGCATCGATACTGTCGTTATAGACCTAAACTTCAAGTAATTGTATAAAATGATGAAATTTGAACAGGAATATAACTTCCACTAAACAAAGAAAATTCATTATCGGTATCCATCAGTACATTGAGACCGGGACAACAGCATCAGTCAAAGGCCTTTAAAATAGATCAGAGTCTCACCCATATTGTATTTTCTCCACTTCCAAACAAGAAAAGCAACAAAAATAATAAACACTACTCCAGCAATCAAACCAGCAATGGTAGATCTAGCTGATAAAGCATCTGAAATGATAAAGTACATAAGATATGACAATTATTAATAAACAGACATAGGCTTTGTCAAGTTTGCTAGGTTGGAGCCTAAATATGGATCACATCATTAATAAAAAAAAAAACTTAACCTGGAACATGGATCTTGGCTTCTCTGTACTGGTTGTTTTGTTGGATTCTACAGGTGATATTGTTGCTGTGTCCTTTTTCCAGAGTCAGTCTGCTGCTGAGGACATAGAGGTCATCAGGACCTCTCAACATCTCTTTAGACCCAGCAGAGATGATCTTTCCCTTGTTCTCCAGCCAAAACACCTCCGGCTCTGGATACCAGCCTTTGGATTTACATTCTAGCACTCCAGGGCTGACCTCTGTTATTTCAATATCAGCTTCTAAAAACACATAAAACTGTGACATAAAATATAAACAGTAATCTAATTTTTAACTGTAGCAGCATATAGAGTTTGTCCACTTACCGACAACAAGTTCAACACTAAAATTTGCATTCAGTCCTGGAATGAAGCACCTGTATGTTCCTTCATCTGACAGTCTCACTTTGGTAATTTTCAGTGATACATCTCCTGTTTTCAGTTTCTCAGTGGACACTGACGTTCTGTTCTTGTAGGATGGGTTTTGGCCAACCAGATGATCTTCACCTGACCGCCACACGTGGACAAATCTGGGATTCAGGTCAGATCTTGACCACTCTACCATCTCATCCACGACATCCATAGGATGATCCAATTTGCATGGTAGGACGATGTCTTGAGTCTGACCAATTACTGCCAACATTCGATACTGATTGTTTGTCAGAGATTCACCTGTGAAGCAAATGTGTTTCATTCTTTTCTGTTTCTTCAATAACTTGAAGTCGGTTCAAAGAATAATTTTCTATATGACTTTACTAGTTTCTCACATTGTTGTAGAACTATTTGGCTCAGTGGGATTTGGTGGGATTTGACGCACAGGTGTTATAATGTCCAACCACAGAATTTTAGTCAGGATAAAGTCAGACCTTATCCTGACTAAAATTCAGTGGTTGGACATTATAACACTGACTGACCTAATTTATGCTAATGTCAGGTCATGTGGCTGCAAAACAAGCCCAAATCAACGCTCCACATTAGCTCTCCAAATCTCTGCTTTTGCAGAGTTAGTCATGCTTGTTGATGAATTAATTAAGTACATTTTATTAGCAGTGCCTGGGAGATAGTTGTTGTCTTAATTGTACTCTTAAGTGTATCTCCGCATTTTGGCATAGCTATTGTTGAATAAATAATAACAGTAGAAGATATTATGTTTTGACATTTTTTTGAGTTTGTTTTTACCTAATTTGTTAACATATGTAAATACTTAGAATTGAATGTGGGTGTAATATCTTTTTATCATGAAACGTGGATGAGTTGAAGAATAAAAATCTTTTCTGTCTGTATTATGGATGTTTAATCAGTTACTCGACCTGTCAAGAAAGCTGAGCTACAAGATGACAACTCTTCTGTAATGAGTGTCTTTACAAACTCAGCCTTAATGATGTTGTTGCCTAAGTCTAACTAAACAGTGAATGAAAACAAAACAAAACTTCCACAAAAACGCAACTTAAGTATGAATGTAATACAGAAGAAAGTGTGAAACTCATGTTTATCTGTCCTTCATATGAGTGACAACATAACTCCAATTCTGCTACCATCCATACTGTATAACACGAACCTGTTCACTATTTAAGACAGTAAAAATTCACTTAATTTAAAGTGAATAAAATAATTAAAATGTGTGGAATAATTATTAATGACGAATTACATAATAATATTCACAGCTGGATGAGAGAGAATAAAAGAAACAAAAACTACTACTTGTCTCACATTTGGGGATATCCGGCCGTTAAGTCTGCTGTCATTAGCCGTGTCTGGGCCTAAACTCCGCTGCAGGTCCATATATCAAACGATCACTATGGCATTACTGAGAGTTGAAAAACTGTAAAGTCTTTCATCTTTAATAAAATGATCAGCGTTCTGCTCTACCAGGTGTAACAATTGAGTTTAACATCCAGGCATCCATGAAAACGGAATTTATGACATTTAACGGAGTTAGAAGTTAGCAGGAAGTTAGCTCGCTAGCTTCTATCTAACTACAATATAGCATGTCCTGACTGCGGGGTTTTGGAAACAAATTAAAACGTACAGCTCTGTTATCAC